CCCCACTTCCCCTGGAGATGCTCAGAAGACACTGGGTCAGGGCTGGCAAAGGTAGCCGGTGGGCAGACGCCATCCCCCAGGAGCCAGCAGGCCCTGCCTTGCCACCCCCCATCTGTGGCTCCGCGGCAGCAAAGCTAAGGGGACCACGGTGGTGTCCAGGGCTCCGGTTCCCACCCTGGTCTTGCCTTGGCCTCTGGTAGCCTCGGTTTTCCCCTCTGTAAACAGGGTACCTGCTGTGCCCACAAAGAGGGTGAATGGGAGGCTTGTTTTGTGTTTTTTTAAAATACATTTTCATTGATTTTTAGAGAGAGAGAGAAACACCAATGAGAGAGAAACATCAACATCGATCGGCTGCCTCCTGTACGCCCCTTGATGGGGATCAAGCCCGCAACCCAGGCATGTGCTCTGACTGGGGATCGAACCGGTGACCTCCTGGTGCATAGGTCAGTGCTCAAGCCCTGAGCCACGCCAGCCTGGCGGGAGGCCTGGATTTGAGATCACCTAGCAGGGGCCATGGCACTATAGCCTGAGCCTTGCGGTCTTGCTGTGTCGATGCAGGCGGGGTCTTCAGGGTGGAGTCTGGCCGGCGTCCTTGAAGCTGAGCGCTCGGGGGGCTGGTGTTATTGGCGGGAGGTGACCTGTGGCGCTGAGTGTCCCCTAATGGATTTTCTTACCGCCTCTGTGCGTGCTATTTATTTAGTCATTTGCCCGAGTAAATCTTACAGGCCCGCGGAGAGTTTATTTTTTAATTTTTAATATTCCCAGTACACTCAGGGGTTTATTTCCCACTAGATCTATTCGTTTAATTTAGTGGAGGACAGACTTTGTACTTAACCCAGAATTGCTTTGACATTATGGAGAATTAAGAGGCTGGAGCCAGACGGATCGGAGCGGATCGATCTGTTTGAGAGAAGCCTCTGTCATTTCCCCGCCTGCTGTCTTCACCTTCATGGTGAGGATGGAGATTGGAATACGGGCTGGCTAAGCCCAACCCGTGTGGCTCAGCGGGTGAGCGTCGACCTATGAACCAGAAGGTCACGGGTTCGATTCCCGGTCAGGACACATGCCTGGGTTGCGGGCTCAATCCCCAGTAGGAGGTGTGCAGGAGGCAGCTAGCTGATCAGTGATTCTCATCATTGATGTTTCTCTCCCTCTCCCGCTCCCTTCCTCTCTGAAATTAATAAAATGTATTTTTTAAAAAGAAAGAAAGAAAATGGGCTGGCTGAGAACGACAGAGCGTGGCCGGAGGGTCAGGGTTCTCGCTCCCGTGTTCCCCTGGGACCCCCGGAGAGGTCTCCCCTTGACGAGATGGCGGTGGAGGTCCCAGGGCAGGTGCTGTGGGGGCAGAGGTGTCTGTAAGCAGCCGGCCAGCCTCTGAAGTGTTGCTTCATGGGCCAGGGCACCAGGATGGGTGCAGAGCGCTGGGCCCTGGCACTGCGAGTTCGGGCAGCACCCGGTGGTCCACGCCTGGGGCCCTTGGTGGATTTCTCCAGCACACCAGGCTGAGCCTCAGCGCCCCGTCAGAGGGCCCCGCTTCCCCTGGGGCCACAGCGGGCGCAGTGTGGAGGGGACGGGACAGGCTCGGGCTCCGGCCTTAGCATCCTCTCTGGCTGCGGAGCCCCAAGTGCCTGGGAGGCCCCGGAGATCAGCGCGTCTCTCCCGATGGGCTCCCCTGGCACGTGCACTACCTGGGGGTCCAGGAGGGACAGGGTCGCCGTGCGGGGTTTTGACCGCTGCCTGAGCAGGCCGGGCCCTGGCGTCGAGGCCCCGCCTCTCGGTGCCGATGTCCGGTCCTGGGAGAGGCTGCCTGGCGTTGGCGTTTCCGTGACCTTCACGCCTCACTTGCCCCTTTGGGGCTCCTCCTGCCGCTGGACTGGCAGCTGCCAGCGTGCTCGGCTTGTGAAATGTCAGTGGTTTCATATCAACCCTGGGGTTTTATGGCCTCTACCCGCCCTTTTCCAATGGGATTTGGTCCAATCAAGGCCGAGTGATGGCAGATTCCTGTTCCAGTCGAAGTTGATGGAAGGTCACTGTGCCCGGGGAGCCAGGGGTGACCATGGCTTTGCACACAAGTGATTACCTGGTTCCCCCACCCCGGGCCCTGGAGCCAGGCCCTGCCTCCCCCAGGACGGCAGTTCCAGGTGGGTGTGGGCGCTGACTGGAGCCCGCTGGTTGGGGGCTTAAGCCGGGCAGTCGCCAGCCACAAAGTGCCCTGGTTTTGTTTGCAAAATGTCTTTGATGCTTCGGACCTAAGGTAATTTTTCACAGAAATGTTTCAAAAATGGTTTCAAAATGTCATTTTTCCATTCCCAAAGAAAAGAAAGAAAGAAGCCCGTTGAATGGGAGTCTGTGCTGGGAAGAGGCCCCAAGGTTCGGAGAGCCCAGGAGGCAGGCACGCCTGGCCGGGCCCCCGTCCTCTGTGGTTCGGCCCCTGCCCTCCCCAGAGAGCCAGCACCCGTCCTGCCGGTTCGGGCCCAGGGCTCCGAGGGTGGAGAGGGGGGCATGAGGCTTTGTCTCGTTTCGATCTCGCTTGTTGGCTTTTAAAGACGTGATGTGCAGGGACTCAGCCCCGCTGGGCAAGCCTCCAAGGCCCCTGCTGTCGGGGGGCTGCGTGGGTACGCTGTGGCAGTGTGGGAGCTCCCTGGGGGGCCCTGGGAAGACTGGGCGAGGTAGGAGGGGCCTGGGGTGTAGCCGTGGCTTCCAGAGCCCTCCCAGCCGGGTGTGGCTGGAGGGAGGCCAGGTGGCCAGGTGAGGGTGGCAGCTTTGGGAGGTGACAGAGCTGGGGACGCTTCATGGGAAGAAGGACAATGGCAGGGTGCACCTGATACACCTGAGGGGCTTCCCAGGGGAAGCTGCCTCCCACGCTCGCTGCTGTCTCTGGGCCCGGGAGGGACCTGGAGGAAGGCTGCCTAGTCCCGCCCCGCTGTGCCAACCCTGCCTCTTGCTTGTGCGTGTTGTCTCCTGAAGGACGGTCTGGGGTGGGCACCTGCTCACACCGGCCCCCGTCTCCTCCCCCTGGCGGGCCAGCCTTCCAGGGGAGCCCGCAAGACATGGGTGGAGTGTGTTTATGTGCGTGTGCGTGTGCAGACAGCACTCCCGGGTGCAGACGCATGCCTGCGTGTGTGTGCACAGACAGCGTGTGCGTGCACGAACAGTGAGTGGCAGCCGGTGTGAGCAGACAGCGGGGGTGTGTGGGAATGTGCGTGTGTGCGTGGACCGTGTGCCTGCACATGGCACGTGTGTGCAGGCTTGAGTGGTCCACACAAAGGCAGGGGGCGGAGGCACCCTGAGCCTCTTACGGGCGAACAGGAAAGGGCAGACTCTGCTCTCTGCCCTCCCCTCCCTCACTTCCTCCCCCTCGCCCTCCTCGCCATCATCACCATTTGTTGCGTGTTCACTGTGTGCCCAGCAGAGCAGACCTGCAGGGACCATTGCTTTTTTTTTTTAAGTTTTTATTTTTTTTTTTTTTTTTTTTTAGAGAGAGAGAGGAAGGGAGAGGGATGGAGACATAGAAACATTGATGAGAGAGGAACATCATCGATCAGCTGCCTCTTGCATGGCCCCCACTGGGGATCAAGCCCGCAACCCGGGCATGTGCCCTGAATGGGAATTGAACTGGTGACCTCCTGGTTCCTGGGCTGACGCTCCATCACTGAGCCCCCGGCGGTGGAACCACGTCTCGAACAGCTGAGTGGACGGAGGCAGGAGCGCGCGGCCTTGAGACGGACTGTCCTCACCCCGTCTGCAGGTGGGAAGTCTGGGCGCTGGCGCAGTTTAGTGACAGAATCACAGGACGCAGCCCTGGCACAGGGGGCCAAGGCGAAGGTGTCCCACCAGCCAGCGGGGCGCCACCCGGGGTCCCCACTCAGTTCCGGGAGCCTGGGACCCCGTCATCTCCCCGTCGGGGTTTCTCCTCTGAGCGGCTCGGGTTGGGGGCCGCGTCGACGCGCCAGTGGTTCGTCAGCACAGACTCAGCTGAGCAACCGGCTAATTATTTCCAAAAATATTGACTCGTCACGGAGAGAAAGCTCTTCTCCATGCCGCCCGTCGGCAGAAAATTGCCTTTGGTATTAACATTTCATCAGCCGCATAATGCGAATGGATGTAAGTGCATAATTAGAAATAATAGCCTGGGAAAACTCACTCTTATTTGTAAAATTGGACTTGTTACATTACAACCAGAGCTAACGGCGTGCCTCTCACTCCTTCGATAGGCCCAAGGCTGGGCCTGCCCTGCTTTGTGGGGTGCCCGGCTGCCTCCGCCGCTCTGTGGGGGGACCCTGGAGAGGGGATGCCCTCTGAGGAGGCGTGGGCATCACCTGTCCCAAAGGGGGCTCTCTCAGTCTATGAACAGGCCACTCAGAAACCTCCTCATAAACATGTCACAGATGACAGTCCCTGAGGACAAGAGTCCGGGTGACAACTTCCTCAGCCCTCGGTCTTTCTGTGTGTGTGTGGTGGGGGGGGAGAAGGGGACACAGTCCCCCTGATCCAGGGATGGGGCGGGAAGACACCGTGAGAGGGATGCTCACAGCCCAGCCTGGGCCTCCCCTGCCTCCCCCTCCACTCCTTCCCCAGGGACACAGTTCCCCTTTTTTCGGGGGGTAGGAAGCTGACCGCTTGTCTCCAGGAACAGCGGGGCCTTGTCCCCTCAGTTGTGCGGGCGCCTGGGCGGCTGGACAATCCCGCTGTGTGCTGGGGAACCAGGGGCCGAAGGAAGCAGCTCGGCTGTGGCCCAAGAGCTGGGGGAGGGAGGAGGGTAATGAGGCTGGAGGCGGGGCCTCTGCTTTCTCTCACAGCCCAGTGGCAGACTGGGCCTGTGCTCTCAGGGTCCCCCCAGGCTCTGAAAGGGGTGCAGAATGGAGGCTGCAGGGAAGTGCCCGCAGGTCCTCTCTCACCTGCCTCCTTCTCCCCAGGAGGTATGAGCTGTGGTCCCCCCCCCCCCGCCCCGCAGCCTCTCCCAGCTCAGGCTCCTGTGGGGTGGGCTCCAGTCGGGGCCTTCTGGTGGCGATTATTGGGCTCCTACACCATCACCTGGGGGGCTGGACACCGGCACAGCCAGGCCAGTCTCTGCTCCCTCTGCCCGGGAGAAGGGCTGGGCAAAGGCCCTGGGGAGACTGGGCAGGGCTCCCAGAGGACGGGCGTGCCATGGGCGTGCTGCTGCAGGAGTGGGCGAGGCACGGGGCACACAGGACACTTGGTTGCTTCTCAGGCCCGAGGGGAAGCCACCATGGGGCGTTATCACTAGACTCAGTTGTCCTGTCTGGACTTGGGCCAGCAGGCCCCTGCTACCAGGTCTGAAAGCTGGAGAGGAGTCGTGGTGACGATGCGACCTGCTGTCTGTAGCCCCTGGAGCAGGATGGGGCCTAGAGTGGGAGGTGGGTTTTGGGTGTTTAACTTCATAGACATTCCAGGAGGAGAGCAGTTGCTCTGTGAGGTGGTGAGCTGCCCGTCCCTGGCAGAGCCCAAGGACAGCTAAGCTCGGAGTCAATCTGGTGGGAGAGTCGACCGTCAGAGCAGAGGGGTCTTGGGGGAAAAGGGGGTGAGGCTGGCGACACCGGGTCTCCCTCGGTGGTCTCGTGCAGCGTGAGTGTGGAAGGACGTCTGTCCTGGAGATCCTGTGGGGCGGGCTCCAGCCGGGCCTTCTGGTGGCGATTATTGGGCTCCTACACCATCACCTGGGGGGCTGGGCACCGGCACAGCCAGACCAGTCTCTGCTCCCTCTGCCCGGGAGAAGGGCTGGGCAAAGGCCCTGGGGAGACTGGGCAGGGCTCCCAGAGGACGGGCGTGCCATGGGCGTGCTGCTGCAGGAGTGGGCGAGGCACGGGGCACACAGGACACTTGGTTGCTTCTCAGGCCCGAGGGGAAGCCACCATGGGGCGTTATCACTAGACTCAGTTGTCCTGTCTGGACTTGGGCCAGCAGGCCCCTGCTACCAGGTCTGAAAGCTGGAGAGGAGTCGTGGTGACGATGCGACCTGCTGTCTGTAGCCCCTGGAGCAGGATGGGGCCTAGAGTGGGAGGTGGGTTTTGGGTGTTTAACTTCATAGACATTCCAGGAGGAGAGCAGTTGCTCTGTGAGGTGGTGAGCTGCCCGTCCCTGGCAGAGCCCAAGGACAGCTAAGCTCGGAGTCAATCTGGTGGGAGAGTCGACCGTCAGAGCAGAGGGGTCTTGGGGGAAAAGGGGGTGAGGCTGGCGACACCGGGTCTCCCTCGGTGGTCTCGTGCAGCGTGAGTGTGGAAGGACGTCTGTCCTGGAGAAAGGAGCGTGCCCCTCAGACCCGGGCCTTGGGGTGCTGGCTCGGGGCAGCGTCGGCCGCAAGCCCTGGCGGGAATGCGCCTGGTGCTTGGTATACTACAGCCTCGGTGACTTCATTCCGGCCCGTCGGGAAGGGACGGGAAGATTTCTTCATTTGCAAAGATGAAATGAACAGATGTCTTTTCGAGCTATTAATAGGCGGTCGGGGGAACAATGAGCCTTATTTTGAAAGGAGCCTCGGCCTGCAGCGGCCGTGTCCATTTGAATGTTCCGTGTTTGAACATGTCCTGTGCTTGGCGGTGGAGCGTCATTGGCAGTGAGTGGCTGAGTCCCTTGGATACTGTATCCAGGCCCTGAGACGCTGGGTCCAAATCAGCAGTTCCCAGCCCTGTCTTACCACGCCCCACCTAAGCATCTCTAACATCCTGGTGCCCCTGTGACATAGAATTCTCATTATTCACAAAGTGAACTCCTATTCACACGGAGGAAGCCTAAAAGGCCATTCACTTGGACTAAACAAGCTTCCAAAGAGCATGAAAGAGAAAAATAAAAGAATAAAAGGACAGTGGAAGTTCTGAGGAAGAAATCACTAAGAAATTGTTAAAAAACAATAATATGAAGTGATAGGAAAAAATAGCAAATAAAGTTTCAAAACATAGAGAACTGAAATGCATACATGTGTCACAATATATATTTATAGGCTGCATATGAGGCCCCTAGAACCATAAGAAATGCAAAATTCACTGTTAATAACTCATTCTCGGATTGCCCCCCTTAAACATCAAATTTCCCCCCTGTGGGCATGTGCCCCACGCTGGGAACCACTGGTCTAAATGTAAGCCCTCCCCCCTAAACCTCCCGGCAAGGGCCTCAGAACACGCCAGGCTTCTGAAAAATGGGTACAGCACGGAGTGACGTGCAGAGACGGGGCCGTGGGAGGCACCCGGTGTGTACAGCCCGGCCGGGCAGTCTCCGTTCTTCCGTGTGGAAGTCTGGGCTTGCGCTTTTGGGCAAATGCATCCAAACCGCCCGGGCAGCTCTTAGCAGCATTGTGCACAGGCACCTTTGCTGAAAGTGGAGTGTCGATCACCCTGTGTGTGTGTGTGTGTGTGTGTGTGGGCTTTGATCTCAATCTCAATTTGAATTAATCCCACTCAGCTCATTACCAATAACACTGAGGCGGGAAGCAGCTTTCCTGTAGGAAAAAGACGTCTCCAGCATCTGTGGCCATGCCTTCTCCTGGAGAAAGTTCATTCCTCTGCCTGCCTGCCTGATCACCCCCTAGCCACTCCCCTGCCAGTCTGATCAAAACCTAACTGCTCCCCTGCTGGCCCGATTGCCACTAACTGCCCTCCTTTGCAGGCCTGGCCGCCCCTAATTGCCCTCCCCTTCTGGCCATCTTGTGTCCACATGGGGGCGGCCATCTTTGTGTTGGAGTGATGGTCAATTTGCATATTACTTCTTTATTAGCTAGGATAGTGGTCTGTAGTCAGTTTGTTACTCTTATGTTTTGTCAGATTTGGAATCAAGGTAATATGGGCACAAAATGAGTGGGAAAATATTCATTTTTTAAAAATTCTGGAATAAGGTTATTATTTCTCCCTTAAGTGTTTGCACAGCATATAGTTGGGCCCCCCACCCCAACACTCAACTCCAAACTAACAATCTCTGTGTTTTACTTGGTATGTCTAGATCATTTACATTTAATAAAATTATTAACATGTTTGGATTTGGGTCTAGCATTTTATTGTTTGTTTTCTGTGTGTTCTGTCTACTTTTAGTTCCTCTTTTATTTCCCTTCCTGCTTGTGTAGTCTTTGGATTTTTGGGGTATGTTTCACTTTAATTAATTTATGGAATCTTATTGTAGTGGTTGCTGTAGAATTGATAACCCTTCAAAGTCCTTGGGCAATGGCTTTTGTATTTCGTCCAGAATGTTTAGTTGTGATTGGTGGGGGAGAGAGGCTATCCGGGCTTAGTCAGTCTTGGTTGCTCACATGTTGTCTTTTCAAAAGGGCAGTGTGCTATCTTTTTTTCATCTGTTTTTCTAGACATCTATCTGCTTTATGGTTCTTCTAAAATAACTGCGTTTTGTTGACTTGCGCATCTTTCTTATGCTGGTGTTTGTTTCCTCCCTGAGTGAGATTCTGCAGGGGCTCTGTTGGTGCCCTTACCAAGTGCCTTTGCCCCCCATTTGCCAGCTCAGCATGCCCACCTCCCAGCTCCCGTGGGCTTCACTGTTCAAGGTGTGCCCATGACATGTCCCAGTGACTCCGCTGGGCACTGGAGCCGCCTGCTGGTGCAGACAGCTGGGCGTGCCCACGGTGCACATGCCTCGCCCTCCAGCAGCTCCAGCCGTACCGACTGGTGTGTGAGAGCAGGTCCCACTCCTCTGCCCGAGACGGAACAGACTTCCCCTCCTCACCGTGTCCCCACCTCCTGGCCGGAGTCTTCCGGGCGTCCTTCCTCACCAGCCACATTCCAGTCCTGACCGCAGCTAGTGTTCTACCTTTTACCTTTTTTCTTACTTTTCTTTTCTTTTCAAGTCGTATGACTAACTCATCTATTTTCACCATCGCCCCTTATTTTTTATGTAAGTGAATTTATCAAATACTGTATTGAGTTGATCCCACAATGGATGGTAAGTAGAACTTTGGTTTCATTTAGTCCTAAATGTTTTATTTGGGGGGAAGGATTTCCACTTTGAACACAAGTAATTTAGGAGTGTCATTTTAAAAAATGTTCTATAGTTTTGTCCTAGAGGTCTTCTTTTTTTAAAATATATTTTATTGACTTCAGAGAGGAAGGGAGAGGGGGAGAAAGAGATAGACGCATCAATGATGAGAGAGAATCACTGATTGGCTGCCTCCTGCACGCCCCCTACTGGGGACCCGGGCACATGCCCTGACCAGGAATCGACCCGTGACCTCCTGGTCCATAGGTTGACGCTCAACCACTGAGCCACCCTGGCTGGGCTCCTAGCGGTCTTTTCATTGTCGTTTCCGATATAATTCCACTGGGGCCTGAAAGTGCTACTTGCTGGTGTCCGAGCCTCTGGAATTGTGTTCTCGAGGTGGAGTGGAGTGTAAATACCCCTCATTTTCTGGAAAATAATGCATCCTTTCTGTTGGTCAGCCGCGTGGTTCTTTATATATCTGTGAGCTCAAGCTCGGCACAGAGCGGTACGAAGTTCCGTGTCCGCAGTCACTGTCGTCTGCAGGACAGGTTCTGCTACCGTGAGATCAAATCGGCCGTGATGGTGGATTTGTCGGTTTCTTCTTGTCCTTCCGTCAGTTTTGCTTTGTGTGTTTTGGGGGCCGTGTTGCTGTGAGGTACGTACAGTTCATCACTGTCTGACCTGCTTGGCGAGTCTTTCCTGTCCCAATCACACAGGGTTCCTTATCTCTAGGAAGCCTTTTGTCTCCGTTCCGTTCTGTCTCCACTCGTGTCCCAGCCTGTTCCCTGCTGTGCGGGAATGCCCTTGGCATCTTTCTGTTGTGGCTTTTCCGGTGGAGTGTCTGGTAGCAAACACCCTATCACTGGGTTGAGGACCGACAGTCTGTTAGGCTGTGTCCTCTAATTAGTGACCCAGGGCTGTTTGCGTTTATGATGCTGTTGATAGGATGGGTCTCTTTGGACTTACATTTCTGATCTTATTCTGTAGATTCCCTTTGCCTCAGTGTTTCCTTTCTCTCCAACTCCCTTTCTGCTCACATTCGATCACTAAGGCTTGTATCACTTTCCTCTCTTGATTGGGAAGTGTGGATTGTGTTTGTTTCCGTTTGGCATGCTCAGCCATTTTTCAGTGTGGGGAAATTGCTTGTATTCCATCTTTGTATAAATTTTGTTCCGTCTGCTGGACTTCCTTCTTCGGCAACACCAAGCATTCCTAAGATAAACTGTCTTTTTGATAGTCAGTGTCTTGCGAATGGTTTCGATTTCTTTTCTATACACACGCATTGTTATGACCCCAGCTAAGCCTTTTCTCTCAGTCAGTAATCAGATTGCCAACAGGTCCATTCTGTTCTCTGTAATGATGCTTTTGGGAGCTCTCATTTTCCCCCTCAACGTTTCCAATCTCCTTTTCTATGTTAATCCTCATCCAGGGATATTTTTCCCATTGGTTTTTAGAGAGAGTGGAAGGGAGGGGAAGAGAGAGAGAGATACAGTCAGAGAGACAGACAGGTAGACATTGATGTGAGAGAAACATATTGATTGGTTGCCTCCTGCATGCGCCCCAACTGGGGCCAGGGATCCAACCTGCAACCCAGGTACATGCCCTGGACCTGGAATCAAACCTGCGACCCTTCGGTGCACAGACTGATGCTCTAACCACTGAACACTCGAGCCAGGGCTAAGGTACATGCGTCCTAACTGTGTTTCTGGGGCACGTGGCTTTGTCATTGCTACGGGGCGGCTGATGGATCATGATGTTTGAGAGCCCGCTCTGGGCCAGGCACCGTGCTGTGCGCCTGACAGTGACCGTGCCATCGAATCCTCCCACACCCAGTCTCCACTTGCTTCCAGGTGAGAGATGGGGGTGCAGGAGGTAGCGGGAAGGTAACTGCCAGTGAGTGCCGGGCAAGAGCGACCAGCTCTGTGCCTCCAGCCCGCGCTCTCACCAGCCCGTGTCCCCGCTCCCGCCCTCGCTCGCTCTGTGATGCCCGGCGTGCGCTCTGCCCCTGCCCAGCATTTTCACGTGTGTCGGGCTGGTTCACTGGCAGGACCGGCGCCCTGGAGTCTGAGAGCCCCCCGGGCAGGGCCCCGGCCCTGTGACTGGCAGAGGGGCCAGGAGGCGGCGTCTGTCCCGTGGACCCTGCAGATCAATGTAACGCTCCCTCCCCGCGCCGGGCGCGCTTTGTGGAGTTCGTTCCGTGTTTGCATTGAACCATAACAAGGGCTGTGCTTGATTTTCAGCAAATATTGACCGAGGCCCCGAGGGCCCTGGAGCCCAGTGAGAGGCTGCGTCGCTAATCGTCGGCTGTGTGGGCAGTTTCTCACGGGGGGACCCATGCCGGGTTCTGATGGTCACCTGCGTGTGCTGGACCTTCTCCCGTGGGAAGGACATCATGCCCTGAACTGTCCGTCCGGCGAGGGCTCAGCACACCCTCTCCTCATTGCCTGGGGTGGGGCAGCCTGGGTGCGCCTCCGTTTTACACAGAAGGAAGCCAGGGTTCAGTGGGTGAGCCTCGTGGGCAGTCAGAGCCAGGCCCGCTGGCCTCTACACGCTGGTCTCAGGGTCGCTGCCTCCTGACTGACTGAGCCGATAGCTTGAGGGTGAGAGGATCCCAGCCCGGGCACCGGCCTGCCCTCAGTGGGGGAGGGATCTGGGTGAAGCACGTCGCTGGGGTCCCCTGTGGGCCAGCATGACAAGCGGAGGGCTTCGATGTTGGAGGGGGGTGGCAGGGGAGGCTGCCACCTGTTGGTCCGCACCCTGGCAGGGGCCTCGACACGTCCGGCAGGCCAGCCCCCCTGGGACTTGGGTGTGACACCAGGAGATGCGATGGTGCCTGTGCTAAGCCGATGGAAGGCCACCCCTCGGCCACGTGGGAGATGCAGTGCAGACTGCGCTCCTATACAAGGCTCCCTCCACAAGCTGGCACGGGTCTCAGTAACGACCATGTGTCCCAGGGTTGGGCTGTAACACACCTGTGCATGGCGGCCGAGGGGCTGGGTGGGAGACCCTGTATCCATAACACACCTGTGCATGGCGGCCGAGGGGCTGGGTGGGAGACCCTGCAGAGCTGGGGCCTTCTCCTCTGGACCATGTGGTGCTGGGGTGCCTCCACGCCGTCCTGTCTGGCCACGGCCAGCACATCGTGGGCTTCTCTTTGGAGAGCCTGGGTGCCGAGAGGGCCATCCAGGTCGCGGCTCGATTGGGCAGCAGCTCTGCGTGCTGGTTGGATTCACTGTGCGCCACGTTCACTGTGCTCTGATGGCAGGCGGCTGAACTGTGATTGACTCCCCGCCACGTCACTCCTGCCCCGTGAGGAGCGGCCTCGTTAATCCCGGTCTGCAGGGGGCTGGCGCCTTGTCAAACCCCCGCCCCCAACCATCTTGCTCTCCTTTCAGCTGCTCTTGGCTTATAATCAAATATGAAATTCACACATTTTTTAATAAGTCCTTGGCTGTTTTGCCACTGAAAGATTCATGGCGTTACGCAGTCCCCTTAAATAATGTTTATTCATTAGACATTTCTCCTTGCCCGTGGGGTGCTGTCTGCTCTCACTGACAAGCTGAGCACTGTCTGGGGGGCTGGGGCCGGGCCGGGCCATCTGGGCGGTGGAGGCGGGTCTTCTCCGTGGCAGTGAGCGCTGGGCACCGCTTCTCCCCTCGGTGTCTCCCTGGGGCCGTCTCTGCCACGCGCTCCGCCTTCACACCGTCGTCATTTCCCACCCGCCCTCTGGCACGCGCTGTGCCCGCCTGGTGGTGGCATCTCCCTCCGCCTCGGCTTCCTGTGGGCCAGATGTCACGGCCAAGCCTCTTCTTCCGAGATGCCCCGCCCACCAGCACTTCTGCCCAAACTCTGTCCTCCCCGGTGCCATGTGCGGTGCAGCGCTTCCCACAGCTACACAGACCCGCACTTCAGTCCGGTGCTGGCGTCCGGCCCCTGCAGGCTGCCCCGGGCATGGGAGCCCATTGCCTGCAGGACACATAGGAGCCCTGTCCTGGCCACGGGGGCTCAGGGACAGCCCCCCGGGCCTGCAGTGATGGGCAGGGCCACTGGAGGAGCAGGCCTGGGCGGGGCG